TGAAACATTTCTTCTAAGTAAAAAGAAGTTACTATTAAGTAGTGATTTTTTAAAAGAGGAAATTTAGAAAGTACTTGTACCTTTTATAGGTATTTTCAAATTTCTACTCATATTGCTGAGTAGAAATTACAAACTTAATATTTGTGCTGTTTTTTAAATAAAGTATTCTATTTTTATAGAAAAAGCATAATTGATTGGATTGTGCTAGATTGTGTGCTAAATATTCTGGCCTCATCAATTATCTGTCTTTGGGAAAGTTAGATGGCCTGTCAGTCTCTATTTTTTTTCCCCTGATGACTGCTAAATAAATGGTACTTGGAAGAAAACAAAAATTGGCCCCTTTGGCTTTATCCTTGTGGACCCAACCCTTACGAAGCAATGGCTGACATCATTCTTCCCTTTCTCCTTCTCTTCTTGCCAGAGGCTGACTCCTATCTCACTCGGTTCACCATTCCTCAGATATACAATTACTCTGTTCTCCTTGTGGATCCTGCTTCCCATACACTTTACGTTGGCGCCCGGGACACCATCTTTGCTTTATCCCTGCCTTTCTCAGGGGAGAGACCCCGCAGGGTGAGAGATGAGAGTGGGGAAGACCCCAGATTCCAGATCCATGGTTTTATGGGATGTGAAAGGGGCTGTTGTTATAGGAGGAGGGGTGTCGGTTAAAATGAATAAGAGGAAATCATCAACTTCACGGTCTTAGCTAGCTGAGGGTGATTGCAGGGGGTGGGTGGTCATGGTGGCTAGAGAGGCTATGAGTGAGGTTCATGATGATGGGTGGAAGCCACAGTGACCAGGTTTCAGGTGACAATGGGCAGAGGAATCATTGGAATCACATTACTCTAGGGCAATAGCTCTCAAACTTTTTTGACCAGCCCTTAGTAAGAAGTATATGGTACATTTTGACCCAGTACACAAAGTATGTACTGAAAGAAAACTTTCTTGAAATAAAATCTGCTCTCCTAAATATGATACATTCTGATATATTCTAATGCTGGTTGTCATTTCCCAATTAATTTCATTACTCATTAATCGGTAAAGACTTCCAGTTTGAAAAACAATGCTCTGGGGGCAGGGATGTCTCTGAAGTTCCCAAATTGATAGAGGTTGTGGAACTGTTACCTACTCTGATTTAGGAGAAGTTGGGAGAGGAACTGGGGGAAACGGTCACTCCTTCTTTCTCAGATTGACTGGATGGTACCTGAGACCCACAGACAGAGCTGTAGGAAGAAAGGCAAAAAGGAGGTAGGTATAAATCCAGACCCTATCCTAAGTGCCAAATGAGACCTTGACCCAGCCCTAACTCTGTGTCAGTCCCCTGCAGTGCTGCCATCCCAATGGACCTAGGCAGGACTCTAACACTGTATCATTACCCATAATCTCTGATCCCAGAGCTGCATCTAACTGGCCTGACACTTCCCTGCCTTTCCTTGTACCTGCTGCTTCTGATTCTTTCTAACCATCTCTGACCCTCAGGCCGAATGTCACAATTTTGTCCAGATTCTCGCCATTGCCAATGCCTCTCACCTCCTCACATGCGGCACCTTCGCTTTTGATCCGAAGTGCGGGGTTATTGTGAGTGACAGGGGTGGGAGGATGGGAAGGGTCTTCTGTGAGTGACCATGATGTGGGGCATGATTAAGGCAGCCGTTGTGCATGATAAACATTGGGGGTGAGGGATGTCCCCACAGGGTGGAGCCTTTGTCTGCCACTGAAGGAGGGTATGAAAGAGTGGGGAGGGAAGTGGTCTATAGGAAGTGAGCTATACAAAGCATAGAGATGTAATGGGATGGTGAAGGAAGATAGGGATGCTAGCTGGGCTGGGGAGAGGAGAAATCCTGGAGAGACTTCAGAGACCATGTTTCCCTTGGCCTGTGTATGTTTTGTCCAGGCAGCCTGGGTCCATTTTTTAATCAGCGCAGTCCATGTTTATTTCTTCCTCCCATTGACCCGTGACTCTCACCACCTTCTCTCACCTGCACTGCTAACCTCATTCTACATGGGCTCTGATCCTCTGCGCTCAATGAGCTTCTGAGGTCACTGCCTACTAATGTAGTACCTCATGGCCCCGAACTCTGGATCTTGCCTTCAAGGTGGGCACTCTGTCAACCATGTTTTCTTCTAGGTCCTGTTCATTGCTGCTGAAGCCCTGGGCATCTTCACCCTCACACCCAAGCAGGCTTCGGACATATATACCCCTAATCACATCTAGGCTAGTCATGGTGACAAAAGTTTCTGGGACTGGTGACATCTGAGGAAGGGTCTTAATGTTTATTAACCCTCAGCTTTTCCCATCAGTTATCCAGTAGTCAATCACTGGCCCTCTGGTAGTGTACATTTGTGACAGACCCTGGGATGTGGCGAAAGCCTCACATGTCCTTTGTGTCCAGTGGCTTCCCTTTCTGCTCCATAGAGGAATAGGAGGGATTGCAACAACTCCTTTTCTTGACTCTGATCTTTAACTTAGATCTTGACTTGACCCTTCTGCAGTCTGCAGTAATCCTTATGACCAGGATCTAGTCAGTGTGTAGCTCCAAATCTCTCTTTGCTAAGGACCATCCTCTTATCTCTGGCTTAGAATACTATAATTGTATATGCTTGATATACAGTCAGACCCTCTGGGCTGCCCTTGGGCTTGGTTGGGCTTTTGTTGAGTCCTTTTCATAAGGTGTTGAGAGACTCCCTGCCAGGCGTGGATAGCTTGCTTCATCATCCTGGGAAGGTTTCCTAGTTCAGGGGTGTTATTGAAAATCTCTACATCCTATTGGGTAATATTGAGGATCTAGTTTCCCTATTTCCCCACAGTCCTCACGGAGTTCACAAAGTAGCAGTAGAACTGTCATTGCCATAGTTATCTTTTGACAGTCTGTGCAGGCTCAGGAATCCCTTGGGTATAAATACCAGAGCCACAGCTTATAGACAATACTATCACTCCAAGCTAGTCTCCCAGGGCCTTTTATTTTACTTTAGACCTCTGAGGTAGGACCCTAATGGTCATTAGGTATCCAGACAGAAAGCGTTCTAGACATACCCGTCAGGATTTGTATGACTTGGACCCCTGTTCTCAAGGAACATCAACAACCAAGAGTGAAGCCAGGGGTCCATGTTCTGCATGTCTATGACTTTCGGCTCTTTCTCTAGCAGGCTCATGAAATGAAGGACTCTCCTTTTGTCAAGACTTGTTTGTAGGAGAATATGGGGCACAGAAAGAATATAGGACACACAAAGCTGTGTTAACCCTTTAAGCCACGTACTAAAACTGACCTCCAGGCTTCCTGAATACTCTCTTCTGCCTTTACCTACCTGTCTTATCTGGCTATCTGGCAATGCCCCCCTCTGCTTGAGCAAGTTCTTGCCTTATCCTTAGTGCTGAACCTCTTATGACTCTGATTAATGACTTTGAGACTATGCCTAACTATTATCTGAGAGCTTTGACTAGCTAGCTGCTCCAGACACAACTTGTTCAGAGTTGATTTGCTCAGAGAAATGAAAGTTCTTACAAAAGGAAGTTCAAACACTGGACCTACTACCTACCTTCTCCAACAATGCAAGTGCTTCCCTCCAGTCATAGCTCATCAGATGTTGGAGGAAAGTATTTTAATTTGTTTTGTTGAGGGAACTCCAGCAGTTAACAGAGAAAAATGTTAGACTCACAATGACAAGACGTCACATTCAGCTGAGTATCTACTCTGTCTCAGGCTTTGTGCTGGGTAATTTACATTCATGACTGAGTTTAATTCTCATCACCACATCATGATATTTAGGTATTATTTGTTTCCATTTTACAGGCAATGAAAGGAAAGTTTAGAAAAGTTAGGTACCATGTCTAACGTTATATAGCTAGCAGAGGCAGAGCCAAGGTTCAAATCCGGGTTTGTTTGGCTCCACTACCCTGCCCTCTAGTCCAGCCTGTATTCCAAAAGACCTTACCTGGCTTCAATTTCTTGTGACATCTGACCTGTTTCATGTAAAAGGGACCACTCTAACTCCGCTCCCCAACCACCAGGGAAAGGTCCTTGGCCAAGACCGAAGGACAGATTCCAAGCCCACAGCTCACTGAGAGCCGTCCTACCTAGCTCTGGCATTCTGCTTAAGGGACTTCTCTTCACCACAATTAATGTTGAACACAACTGATGTGCTGACTGACACAAAGACGACACAATGAAGAATCTCAACATTCAGAGAGAGAATATAGTGGAGTCGCCTTGCCCTTTTCAGACCCTATTAAATGTCACTCTGACCATACAGTAATCATAACTTGTCTAGTTAATAGGAGTCTTACTTGCTCAAAGGCTATAAACCTAGATAAAAGATGATGCCATTTGAGGAAACTGGAAGAGGACTAGTTTTGACATGTTGAGTTATTAGGGGCTGATAGGCCATCTCTATGAGGAAGTCCAGCAGTCAAGCACAAACACAGGCTAGAGTTGGAAGACATCAGACTTGGAGAGTTTGGGAAATGATTTGCATAGAAGGTCTGGCTGGAAGTGTAAGAATGAATGAGGTCTTTGAAGTATATGTGAGAAGTGCTAACAATAGATTTTTAGGTAGGACTCATGGTTAGGGGCTAGAGAGGAAAGAAACAACCAAAGGAGATAGAGAAATAACAACTAGATTGGAGGAGGGACTCCAGGAGGGTACAGTTTCAAGTGAGTCAAGAAATAGGATATTTCAAGTAGGGGAGTGACTCAAAAGTAGCAAAAGGTACGTAAAGATTAAAGAGGATGAGAACTGGGAAAAGGCTCTTCCTCTTGGTTCTTGGTGAAATGTAAGGGAGTAGCTTTGGGCAAAGAGATAGGAAAACATAACTTGTTTTCTAGGAATAACAGGTGATCCAGATTTGGTTAGAAGAGAGTTCATTTTTAAGAAGTATTAGAAAATAAGTAACTTGGGCTAAAGAGTTTATACTTCAGGCAATGGTGAGCCATTATTTTCATTCTCTTGCTCAAAAATTTATCAAATCAGGGACCGATAGTCTAGGACTATTACTCTGGAGTGGATATGTAGAGTAAATTGGGGGTGAGGCTAGGCAGTGTGGTGGAAAGGAGGTTACTGCCACAGTTTAGGTGAGAGCTAAGAAGGGCTACAGCAGCAGGTATTAACCCTGTCTCCAAAGTGCCCAGACATTTTGGCACTTTCTCACTAAACTGTTATCTTTCTCCTCAGGCTAGAATGCTCCCACTGCCACACAGGTAAGGTGCTTGTGCCTCTATGGGGTCCTCTATTCCAGAAGACTCTTGAACCAGTATTTTCTTTTAGGGACCTCAGATCACATCTGATTTTAACAAGCCTTTTTCAAGGCTCTCTCAGTAAAATAAAACCTTGTTTGTCAATTACAGCAAATAGATGAGCAATCAGAATGGGCCAGTAGTGTACTTATACTCAGGGAACATATATCTGATTCCTAACCAGCCACAGTTAACGTCCTTGTCAGTCCTAGGTTGAAATCATCCCTGACTTCCATTTTTAGACATTATCTTGAAGCCTCTCTTAGCGCCTGATGCTTAGCTAAGGCTGGCTCTGGTCGAACTTTTTTCTGTCTGGCTCTAGTTGAACTTTTATACTTTGCACCCCTCCCAGGTCAGTCCTTCTAGAGTCCCTGCATGAGGAAGGCACTTACTTACCAAATCCTCAGATTCTGATCTGAGCTTCAGGTCTTCATTGACTTTGCAGATTCCCTTCTCCCCTTCTATGTATTCTTGACTGCAGTCTCATCTTTCATCCTTGGGATGGGAGGGGCGCTTCTCTCTAAACCTCTGGGCTTCAGGTGGTCCTATAAAGCCTGTACTTTTCTTTACCTTTCCGAAGGGCTCCAGCCCTGCTGCCTACCCCCGTCTTTGTCCTGTAGCACATTCTCTAGACAGCTTGCAACCCCTACAATTCAGCAACATTTCAGAGGGAAGATCTGCCTTTCAGCCTCAGTGTCTTTTAGGGCCATCCCAGGTGCTCCTTCATCAGAGCATGTAGGTGTTGGGTGCGAGGGAGATTAAGGGAAGAAGAATAAACCAATGAAAAGAGTGATGACACAATTGGGAGATGAAGGAATGGGTGGGGAATCAGAAGTGGCAGACTGGGAATATGGGGATGGCAGCAGAGCAGTGGGAGATGAATGGGAATTGGGCTTTTTCTTCGTCTGACCATCTTTGTAATTTTCGTCATGAACCTCTGCATGACACCTAAACCAATCCCCCTTCTGGTCTGTAGGCTGTGTCCAGTTTCCAGCAGGTTGAAAGAATTGAGAGTGGCCGGGGGAAATGTCCTTTTGAGCCAGCTCAGCGGTCAGCAGCTGTAATGGCTGGTGAGTGAGAGAGACAAGAACCTGTGACTTCTTGCTATGCTTGCTTCCTTCCCCACCCTGCTGTTGGAATTTCTGTGTCCTTTCTTTCCTTTCCTAGGAATGTCTATTATTCCCATGTCTCTTTCTAGCCTTTCCTATTCTTCCTGCTTTTCTCCAGAGTATTATTTCCCTGTGTTCTCTCTAGAGAATGTGTTCTCTGCACCTCTAGTGTGAGTGTTTCCTCTCTCAGCCTCATTTTATATTCTCATTTTTTTTTCGTTTATAAGAGGAATCTACTACAATGCATATTGTAATAAATTTGGAAAAAGTATCAAGAACATATGAAATCTTCTAGGACAGCACTGTCCGAAAGAACTTTGTGTGATGATGGGAATGTTCTATATCTGTGCTGCCTACTGTGGTAGCCACTCGCTGCATGTGAGTGTTGAGTCCTTGAAATGTGACTAGTGCAACTGAAGGAAAGAATTTTAAATTTTCCTTAATTTTAACTTAAATGTAAATTGTCACATGTATCTGGTGGCTACCATATTAGCCCAGGTGTAGAGTATTCCTTCTCAGAAAACCACTGCTAATATTTTAGGATATTTCTTTCTAGCCTTTTTAGTGTGTGTGTGTGTGTGTGTGTGTGTGTGTGTGTGTGTATATACATATTCATATACACTCATGCACATGTTGCTGGCTAGTCCTTTGTTGCTCAGAGGAATCAACAATGACTATTAAATAAATTCCTTCCGTTAATTCCTTTGAACAAGCTCTGTGTAGTTGCTCAAGCAGTGAAGGTTCTATCACAGATTATGCCTAAACCTTTTCTGGGGAATGACTGCTTAATTCTTTGGTAGTCACGAAGTGAATTGTTTGTGTGCTACATAAGCTATATTTTAGGTGAGAATACTCGATGTGCACCCTCAAAATTCAGTGAGAATCCAGCCATTTTCTCATGTTAGTGTAAAACAAGGTTAATAGAAATTTTATGAGTGTGTATATTATGAAACTTTTAAATGTCATGCTACATGGATATAATTTTGAATTTTGTCATGTAACTTTACATCATAGGCATTTCTGTATAGTTTAAAAATTCTTTTTGAAGAGAATTTTAATGACATCCTGCTACTACTCATCTTATGAACATACCATAATTTAATCAAACAATTCCAAACCATTTATATAAATTAATCGTATTTCCAGGTTTATTTAGTTTACTTCCAAGTTTTTGCTATTATCTATAACACTGTAATGAATGTTTTTATGCATACGTTTGTCCTCATTTTAGATCATTTCCTTTAGATTCGTGGAAATGGATTACTATATCAAAGGGTGTGAACACTTTATGGCTCATTATCTGGTGCTAATTGCGTTTTTAGAAAAGGTGTACCAATTTACACTCTAAGTCAGCAGTGAATGAAAGTTTTTTTCCTCACATAAACTTCACCAGAATATATTGTCATTTAAAAAAAAATCTTTGAGATTAAGAATGGTACCTTGTTTTAATTTATATTTCTTTGAATATTAGTGAAGTTGAACATTTTTCATGTTTTAGTACTATTTTTATTTCTTTTTCGATAAATCCTCTGTTCACATTCTTGGGCAAGTTACAGGGTAAGATATTAGTGTTCCAATCTATATCATTTAATGTTTTGATCTATTCGAAATTTATTTTGATGAATGATATGAGATAGGAATCTAAATTAATTTTTCCCAACTGCTTATCAGTTGACTTAGCATCATTCATTATACTGTTTTTTCTTTCTTTGAACTTTGTCATAAAATTAATTTTTACCTTTACTTTTGGACAATATTTTACAAGAAACAAAAATTGAGATATAAGGTCTAACAATGAATGTTTTTACAATAAATTTTTTAAAGAAATTTTTTTCTTATTCATGACTATAGGCAAAGTCTTAAAAGCTATAAAAATTAAATCACTTTAAGTCAGATAATTAATGACTTACGTTTTCTGAAAAGTAATAAAATAACATAAAAGTTTTGAAAATGAACATTAGTATACATCTAGTAAATAGAATATTCGGGTTGTCATTTTTATCATTCATCTATAGTTGAAATTGATGAAACTTTGTTTATTATACTCATACATGTTTAAATAAAACAGTTTAGTTGATAGTTTATTTTTCTTGGCTTTTTATCAACCACATTTGGCAAAATTCTGAGTCAGTCATTGGGATCATTAAGAAAGATAGCGGTTGTGAATGTCTTGATTCTACATAATTTTTTATCAACAAAATGACTTCTCAATTGCAATGACCTAAGATAATCAACATACTATCTTTGTTTCAAGCAATAAACTTTAAGTACATTCAGTCTTCTGCATGTAATTAATGTTCTAGTCAGCAGGTGGATTTGCATTGGCATGTGGTATAAGGACACAAATTTCATAAATTAAATCATTGTATGACAAAATTTTCAAAAAGGAAGAACATTTTAAAAAAGTGTCAAGGTTTTTTTTTTTTAGATAATGAAATTCAGAGTTGGCTTTCTGCTGATAATTTAATTTTTTTTTTTTTTTACATCTACTGTACCTGGTCTTCCTAGGTGGTCTCCCATCCAAGTACTAACCAGGCCCGACCCTGCTTAGCTTCCGAGATAGAGGGGATCGGGCGTGTTCAGGGTAACATGGCCATAGATCCTCTAATAATTGATGGAAGTGATCAAAAATCACTTTCTAACAGTTTAGAATGGCTAACTTTAGACAAAGTAATGTAGAACCTCCATGTTTCTTTCTGTCTCAGATCCAAATCATGGTCAACACCAATATTATAAATATTCTTCTCAAGTTCTTACTTCATAAGGCTATAACTTAAAATTTTTCTTGGTCTGACATAAGTGTCAGTATTCAGTTGGCTCTTTCAATGTTGATCCACTATGCCCTGTTTCCCTCTGTTTTGAAAATGGCAGTATAGAAAATAGTGCCGATATTATGTAAGAACTAGAATTAGAACTCCCAGTTAGGAGCTATAAAAAATGTCCTTAAAGATAATAGGGATCTTTTGAAGTAAAAAGAGCTTTCAGTATTGCAAATATTACTAGAATGTAATATTTATTAATAGAATATATTTTAAATGATAAAAAATTACAATGTGCATTGTAGGAAATTGAGAAAATGTAGAAATCTATAAAGAAGAAAGTGAAAAGTTATTGTAATTCAATCATTACCAGGTAACTATTATTATTTTAGAATATTTTCTTCTATTGTGTTTCACTGTGTGTGTGTATTTATAATAAATTGGAATTGTTATGCATATTTCACTTAGTATTTTATACTAATAATTTTCTCATAGAAATTGTTTATTATTCAAAACATGATTTTTAGTGATTACATACTCTTCCATTATATGAATGTAGTACAATTTAATTATTCCCATATAATTATACATTCAAATTTTAAAGTAAATTATTGCTTTTATGAATAATACTGCAGAAGAAATCTTCTTACATAAATGTGATTAATTGCATATGAGTCAACCCAAAAAGTAGACTTGCTGGGCAAAGGGTGTAAAGATTTTTATGGTACTTGATGGATTTGTCTAAATTTCTCTCCAGTTAGCCAGTAATGAGAGGGCTTATTTCATTGCACTCTTGTCAGTCCCAAGTAATATACTTAATAAACATACAAACTTTGACTGCCTCCAAAGTCCAATTTGATGTATTTTTGATTTCATCTCTATTAGTGAGGCTGAACAACTTTTCATGGGTTTATTGGTATTTGTAGTTCTTTTAGGAAAAGCTTCAGAAATCTTGTTTTCAAATATGACATTTATCTGTACTGCACGTAGATAAAATTAACAAAATGATCTCAGTATCTCTATTTGCACTATTCAAATTTGGGAAAATGCAAATATCTTGACAATAACGTTCACATTAGCCTAAGAACATCAGCAGTTCCTTCTCAGTCTCCTTTATAGGGTATTTGTCTTCTGCTCATCCTTTAATATTGGAATTCCTTAGACTTCCACCCAAGATCCTCTTCTCTTCTCATTCTACATGGTTATGATCTCAATCAGTCTTGTGAATTCTGTTTCCACTGCATTCTAATGCCTCCCAGCCATTGTCTGGTGCTACAGACCACACATCCAACTGCCTTCCAGACAACTCCACTTGGATATCTCACAGGAATCTCAAAATTAGCATGTCCCAAACTGAGCTCATCATCTTCACTTACCTTCCCCAAACCTGTTCCCCTATCAGTGTCCCCTCCTCTCAGTGCATACCCACCCAGGTACCCTAGCTAGAGACAGCAGCTTGTCATCTGTGGTCCTTCCTATCACACCCTGTAATAAATAGGGCCAAGGGAGGTAGCTTTTGCTCTTTCTCTTTGGGAACCCATTCCTGTGTTTTTATCATCTCCTTTTGGTCTCATTGCATCTTGTGGTTACTGCATCTGCCAAGGAGCACTGTAAATGTTCCAGATACACTGGGTGCTGCCAGCATTTTGCATCCAAGCCTACCTCTTAAATCCAGGTGTGTCTGCCCCAAGACTAGTATTCACACACTGAAACAAGACAATTATAGACATACTATATGGCCAACAGAGGAAAAGACAAACACTGTATCTCCTACTACCTAAATCTGTCCCAATAATAGGCTTTAAAAAAAAGCTGTCCCAATCTTTGAATAAGGAAATGGAGACTATTAGGGTAGCAACTATTAATCCTGCAAGCTCTGGCCACGAGAAAAAAAAGGGAGTGGAGGAAGGAAGGTTAGGGCATGTTTAAAATCCTCTTTCTAAAGCTAATGAACGATAATTCGTATTATAAACTTCTTTAAAGGTGAGCATTTTGATACCAGAGTGAAAATTTGAAACCCTTAGAGTAGTGAAATATTCACTTCCCTGACTTTACCCTAGCCTGTCAGTTGGGTTCTAACATACTGTATTCACAGGCTTTACATCTGGGCAAGTAGAGATCTACTTCTACAAATAACTGTGATTCTTTATTTTTTGCAGCTTTCAATCTTTTGTTTTTTTTTTTTTTTAATTTCCAACATAAAAATATCTTAATTTTTCAGGCTATAAAATTAAAAATGCTAACTACAAAAAAACATTCAGTGAATACAAAAAGTATACAGCAGAAAATAAACATCACGTGTTATTTCATTAGTCAGAAACAAACATCATTAACACTGTAGATGTAGCTCCCTCAACAATCTTTCCTAGGCCTGCAGACAGGTATCTGTATCTTAAAAAATTGAGTTGAATTGTACCCAGTGTTTTTTTCTAACCAGCTTGTTTACTGAACTCAGCACTGTGGGCATCTTTCTCTTTTGCACGTCATCTTCTGCCAATAACAAATGTGTGTTTTTAATGTTTACTGAATTGATCGATTCAGTAATAAATGCAGGGGTGTTTTATTATATGGACAGTGAAACAGAATACTTAGAGTTGAGACTGCCTTGGAGCATCTAGGACATGTGGTGATCCTGTGTCCTCCTATGGATTTCTGCTCATTGACCAATGGCTTCTGTTCCTTCTGTGTGTGTGTGTGTGTGTGTGTGTGTGTGTGTGTGTGTGTGTGTGTGTGTGTAAGACTGTTGCAAGCCCCTTGGTACTCCTGGTATACCTGCTACTTCTTCCTAAAGTGTCTGATTCTTCTTGCTGTCCCTTAGTTTCAGTGACCTTCTACTATTCCACCTTGAGTATGCTCTTCAATTCTAGGCTCCAGAGTTGCTGAATGCCACTATTGATTCTTTAGAAAGTTTTGAGACTCTTCACCTCCATCCACTACTGGGTCCTTGCATGGTTATATGAGGTCCTTTCCTGTTTGCAGAATATTTATGACTATTCCTTCCCCCCACCAATTCATGCTCCCCAAATATTCATAACCATCTCCCTCCATTCTCAGGGTATCCCTGACAGCTTCTGCCAGAGTTTTCATTTTAGGGTGTTTTGTGTACAACACTCTTAGGAAAAATTTTCATTCCAGTTCTGTCTTTTTTGTCAACTTTCTTTTCCCTTAGAAGTACAGAGGATTAGCTCTTTTGCTGTTCTATTTGCTGTCAGGACCTATACCCCACACCCGGTTTTCTCCCTCCTGAAATACTCTGAAAGGAAATGGATGCCACTTTATAGTCCTCCCACCTCTGACAACAATTCAAGTTTCAGAAGGAGCTATAACTCACACGTATTGAATAGCAGCCATGGGCCAGGCCCTACCTGGGTCTCTGTGTTTGTTATCTCATTTAAGCTTCAGCACTGTTCTAAGTGGAAGGTGGTATTATCCCCATTCTGTATTTGAAGAACCTGAGGCTTAGGAAGGTTAATTTGCCCAAGATTATACTACCAGTAAGTGTTCAGAATTGAAACCTAAGCTTTCCTGGCTCCAAAAAGCTTGGATTCTTGTCACAATCCCAAGTGATAGTATAGTCTCCCCTCCCTATCCCACAAGGAGGTTTCTAACTTAGCTCTACTGTTGCCCTCAGAGGGCTCCTGACCCTTTTCGCTCTGCATGATGTGTTTTTAACAAAGTGGTTATCTTTCCAGTACCTGGTGCATGCAGCCTCACTGGAGCACCTGTGTCCTCATCATGACTCTGCTTCCCTCACACTGGCCCGACTCCTTACTCTTACTTGCCTGACTCCTTACTCTTCCCTTAGTGGGTGAGAGCCCCCATGGCTCTTGCTGGAGTTTCTGTGCACTGACTTCTGACACACTAGCCTTTTTCGCTCCTCCAGCCCCTCTAATTTGATCTTCTGAATTGCCTTCAGTAGCTTTCCCCTCTAAATGGTGGTGTCCTAGGCTCTCTTCCTGCTTCCCTTTTCTCCCTGGCTATTATGTTCATGTCACGACTTAAGCATGACTCCCAAGTTGCCTAACTCGGCCCTGCTGCCCAGCCCTTTCTGTTTGATTGCCTTCCAGTACCTCTGACCAGACGTCCTGAAGGCACCTCAGCCTGAGCTTACTTCCTCTCCACCCGCCTCTTTTATGGGCCTTCTCCTGTCATTTTGTCTTGGTTCATAACATCACCGTCTATTATCATCTACCTTATAAGCTGGAAACCTGAGAGACATAATTTATTCCATTCTTTCACACCTCATGCTCAATTGATTTTCACATCTCGTTAATGGATTCTGCCTCAGAAATATCTCCCAAGTCTAGTCCCTCTGTTCCTTCTGCCCCTCCCTTATCAGGCCCCTCACCCTTGCACGGACTGTGAATTGCCTTTAATTAGCATTATCTTCTTAAAAACCAAAACTGATCATGTCACCTCATCTTTAAGAAAATCTCTATAGTTTTGCTCTTACCTGTAGGATAAAGTACATGTTCCCGGGCATCTCTGCTGGCTTGCCCAGCAGCCCCTGTGCCCCACAGGCGCTTCAGCCGTGGGCAGTGCCCTGCATCCCCAGACATGGCTCCCCTCTTCCCACTTGTTAATCTTTCTCCTTGAAGTCCTTCTACCTGGCAAATACTCATACTTCAGACCCAGCTCAGACATCACCTCTGAGATTCTGCTCCCAGTCAGATGTGGCTGGGTCCTCCTCTGTGCTCCCACACAAGTCTGTGCATCCATACCTCCTGGTATCTGGTTACATGTTTGTCTTCCAGACTCAGAGTGGGATTCTTGGGGGAAACGATGTGCTTAGCATGCAGCACAGTGCCTCATATGCAGTAAGTGGTGAAGGATTGCCACTGTGTCCTCTCCAGAGCCCCTGTGATACACAAAACTGCAGGGAGTTCTCAGCCTTCTACTCTCCCCAGAATCATTTCCCCCTGCTCATGTCTGAACTCTTGGCAGTGTTACTCAGAGTGGCTACAGTGCTTTGACATTCAGCCCACAGAGCGGCACCTCCCCTTCTTCCCCAGGAATCTGCATTTTGATTGATTTCCAGAGTGATGCTGGTACACCCTGAAGTTGTGACTTGTTTCAGAGCAGTGTACATCCACTGATGTTCAGAAAGAGTGCTAGATCCTTCAGACATTTACCATAGGGGGAGAACTTAAGTAAGATGGGGACAGGCTGCAGAGCAAATCCCCTTCCTGGAGAGTCACAGTATAATTAGTGTATTACAGGGTAGAAAAGTCCCTAAAACAACAAGGAACTAACCAAAGGCTGATTTCCACAAGGACAGCCTTTATTCTCCCTTCGTACACATTACCGTCCTGGCACTCTTCCCTTAACACTGGTTCGCCCTCCTGCCCTGGAGCATTTTATTCCCACGATGATTTTTAAGTGAGGTGATGCCTTTCATGTGCTTAGCAGTGACTGGCACTTAATGGACGCTCAGCCTCTGAGAGCTCCTGCCCCTGCTTTATTCCCTGCTCTGCCTGTGACCCCTTTTACTTTGCTCAGTGGGTCTCTTACAGCTCATCTCCCTGTCGCCCTGCAGGGGGGGTCCTCTATGCTGCCACTGTGAAAAACTACCTGGGGACGGAGCCGATTATCTCCCGGGCTGTGGGTCGTGCTGAGGATTGGATTCGGACAGAGACCTTGCCATCCTGGCTCAACGGTGGGGAGAGGGGGAGGGGTGCTTTGGGAACCGAGAGGGCGGGTGGAGGCCGGGTGGTCCCAGGCTATGTCTGTGGGATCTGAGGCCGCAGGTCTCCCCAGCTCCAGCTTTTGTCGCAGCAGTGGCCTTGAGGCCAGCCGAGTGGGGGGATGAAGACGGAGACGATGAAATCTACTTCTTCTTTACCGAGACTTCCCGAGCGTTTGACTCATACGAGCACATTAAGGTTCCGCGGGTGGCCCGAGTGTGCGCGGTGAGACCCCGACCCCGGCTGTCTGTTGTCTCCTGCTCTTCCTGGCCTGTGTCTTTTCCTCTCTGGGTCTCTGTCTGTGCATCTCTCCTCTGTCTTCTTTTTGCCTATGTCTTGACTTCTTTTCTGGGAGCTCGAGGAATGTGGGGAAAGGGCTCTACCCTCTTTAACCTCATAATTACCCTTGTGTCACCCTGCCCCTTGGAGGTGGACTAGTTAAAGGCAGGAGCTGTTGACAGTTGGACCTGGGCTTCAGCTTCTCCACCACTTACTGCTTCTGCGACTCTGGGCATGTTCTCTAGCATCCTTGCAGATGAGGATGTTAATAATGCCTAGCTATACGGGTTGTTTTGAGGACTAAATGAGGTGAGTTATGTAAGCACATTGTACAGTACTTCTTAAGTGCTCAATGAACTTAGTCACTGTCATTGTCATTGTCATTTTGACCCTGTCTACCTGTGTATCTTATTATCCCCTGCTGTTACTCTATCTGTATCTCTGTCCTTGCATTTCTATGCATCTGCCTCCCCATCTGTCCCTGTCTGGGGGAAACTTATATTGGTCTTCACTCTCTTTCTATAATGTTGGTCTTCTAAAGAGAACTTTCCATGTGCTTGTCACCCCAGGGGGACCTTGGGGGCCGGAAGACCCTCCGGCAGAGGTGGACGACATTTCTGAAGGCTGACCTGCTATGTCCAGGGCCTGAGCATGGCCGGGCCTCCAGCGTCCTGCAAGACATGGCCATTCTTCGACCTGAGCATGGAGGGGGGACCCCCATCTTTTACGGCATCTTTTCCTCTCAGTGGTGAGGGGGTCATGGTGTGAAGTAGAGTTACAAGGTGGGAGATACATGGGGTGGGCCCAGTGTCAGTGCTATCTCATCTGGGGGAGGGAGGGTGGCTTCTCCCTGGAGTAGACTACATGGCTCTCATGCATTTCTCATGGGTCATCTCATTTGACAGGTGATGAGTTGCTGTCCCCTAGGTCCCTTCATGTGTCTGGCTCTAACCTGTGACTCTTCCAGGGAGGGGGCCGCCATCTCTACTGTCTGTGCCTTCCAACCACAAGACATTCGGACAGTGCTGAATGGTCCCTTCAAAGAGCTGAAACATGACTGCAACAGGGGACTGCCTGTCGTGGACAATGATGTACCCCAGCCCAGACCTGGAGAGGTGAGAGGGCTGGGGCAGCTCTTCAACCCACACCAGAATTGCCCCATTACAGCAAGAGCCCAACTAAACATCTTGGGCACTTTCTGGCCCCTGGGAAACTTTGTCTCCCATCCTCTGTTTCCTCTAGTGCATCACCAATAACATGAAACTCCAGCAATTTGGCTCATCGCTCTCTCTGCCTGACCGTGTGCTCACCTTCATTCGAGATCACCCACTCATGGACCAGCCAGTGATTCCAGCTGATGACCACCTTCTGCTCGTAACTACGGATACAGCCTATCTCAGAGTCGTGGCCCACAGGGTGACTAGCCTCTTAGGGAAAAAGTATGATGTGCTCTACCTGGGGACAGGTATGTTTAATAGCTAAGCACATTGCCCATCCAGTGCACACATGCTCTTGTCACAAAGAGGGACCCATACATACAAGCATCGGAGTCCTAGGCACAACTATAGTTATGTCACTATGTTGTATCCCTTGCCTGGCTTCTAGAGGATGGACACCTCCACCGAGCTGTGCGGACTGGAGCCAAGCTCAGTGTCCTTGAGGATCTGGCCTTATTCCCAGAGCCACAGCCAGTTGAGAATATGAAATTGTATCAAGTGAGTAGTAGATTTTGGGGATCTGGTGGGGAGACATCTGAGTCCAGAGCCAGTTTGTGACCTTGAAGTCTGGGAGATGCAGTGTATTCCTTTTTCTCACTCACTTTCTGTAGAGCTGGCTCCTGGTTGGCTCCCGTGCTGAGGTGACACAAGTGAACACAACCAACTGTGGCCGTCTCCAGAGCTGCTCAGAGTGCATCCTGGCCCAAGACCCTGTCTGTGCCTGGAGCTTTCGGCTGGATGCATGTGTGGCCCATGCTGGGGAGCATGGAGGGTGAGTGTGTCTGCCCTCGCCTCTTGCCTGCTGTCCCAGGGCTCTGACTGATACTTATGTCTGTCTATTCCTTGTCTGTTAATGCTGCCCTCTGTGTATGTGTATGTGCGTTTCTTCTTTTAGTGCAACTTGTGTGTCCATTTGTCAGTCCCTACTAACTCATCTATCTGTCCATCTGGTGCTGCCTCATCAGTGTCCTGCCTCTCTGCTGGGCCTGTCCAGACCGTGTGACTGGCCTCCACGTTGCCGTACATGTCTCAGTTTCCATTTTATAAGAGCCGTCAAAGTATTTTTACAGTTGACTACTCCCTCCTTCCTTCCTTGAAATACTCTTTCCTCTTGCCTCCTTCAGGTTTTCCTACCTGCCTCACCAGCCTGTCTCCCTTACTGATTCCTTTTCCATCCAGCTTCTGAATATTGATGTTCCTCGGGGTTCAGTCCTTCTCTTTACACTTGCACAGCCTGTCTAGGTGATTTCATCCCCATTCACTCCCAGCTGAGTGCTGTTGACAACTACAGATGTATCTTTAGCTGAGCTGCAGAATTCCCTGTCCAGCTGCCTGCTTGATATTGTCCTTGGATACTTCACAGGCAACTCAGACTGGCGATCTAGCATGCATTGTTGTTTCCTCTTTCTTTCAAATGGTCCTCTGGTTTTCTTCATCTCAAAAAAGGGACCTCCATTCATCTAGTTGGTGAAGCCAGAAACTGCCCACACCGTATTGTAGTTTTTACTGACTCTAGCTCTATCTATCATACCCTCAGTCCACAGCCACTTCTCTCCTCTAGTGCTATCACTCTAGCCCACGCCATCATCACTTCTTAACTGGATTACTCTAATAACTTCCAAATTGGTCTCCATTTGTCCATTTGGGGCTCCCAGCATCCATTTTCCATTCAGCAGCTAGCTTAAAATCATATGTCACACTGAAGCATATCCCTGACATCATATTCATCTAAAATATTTCAATATGTATCTCTACTGGATAAGGACTCTCTCAGAAACATTTTATTATAGGAAATTTCAAACATTCAAAAATAAAGTAGTATAATGAATTGCCATGTATCTATCACTCAGCTTCAACAACTATCCATTGGCCAATCTTGCTTCATCAATACCTTCACTCACTCACAATTATCTTAAAGCCAACCTCAGACGTTATATTACTTCATCCATAAATCTTTCTGTGTGTATTGCTTTTTAAAAAAACATAGGCATATTATCATTATCATACCAAAAACTCAATTTCTTAATATCACGAAATATCCAATGTTCTGATTTTTCCAGTTGCTTATACTTGAAAATAGTTTGCTTAAGTAAGGATTCAAATGATGTCCATCAGTTGTAATTGGTATATAACATTTCTTAAGTCTTTTAATCTTTAAGATTCCCTTCAATGAAGTTTTTTTAGTTGATTGCTTGGAAAATATTTTTTCGAATTGACTTTGTGATTTCCTATTTTGAAGCCCAGTTAATTTACTGTATATTTGTACATGTTACTGAACCCCAAAGTTACAAATATTTTAAAAGTAAAAATACTTGTCTTTGGGAATCAATTTCTGGTTAAGAACTTTGACCTGGTCTTTTAATTTCTCTTGAAACACCTAAGAAAAAAACAAGTACCTTATTCTTTCCTTTATTGTTTTAATATCCACTAAAACAAGAATTTCATTGGTCTTAGGTATCCTGTGTACTCGAGCCTCAGGGTCTCCTTAAGATATATATGTGGTGGTGGTGGTAGGGTATATATGCCAGCGTACTTCTTGGTAGTACAAGAAATTACCAAGCTGGTACTTTTATGCATGCTACCCTTCATACCTCAGTTTATACAAGGGAGAAAAACATAGACCGTGCAGTTCCTGAGGCTGTAGCTGCACATATGGCCTCTCCATGTTCCCCACTCTAGCCTAGACAAAGCAAACTTGGTTTTACCCAGTGTGTGTTCATACGGATCTTAGAGCTCCTTTCAGGGGCCTCAGTTCGTGTTGAAGGAGTTAACACTCAAACAGAGTCTACCTTTGGTTGAGGCTCTTGCGTGTTCAGATTGAACTTCCACCTGGTCTTCACTGACAGCCCAGGAGTGGTCTCCGTGGCCTCCCCACCTCTGGGAGTGGTGCCAGAGAGTCCAGATTCAGCAGTCTGTCTTACTGTCCCTCTGTGAGATGCATTCTACTGAAATCCTGGAAGTACCGGAATTGTGTTGTTTGAAACAGATCTGTTAGAGGCCAGTAGATATCAACAGTTGTTGGAGAGAGAGTTCCTACTCAGGGATGAGTAACTTTATGAAACAAAGTTGTGTCACTGACCCTCACAGAATTTTGACTAATTTTTGTAGAGATGACATTTTCTCTTTTTCTTAATAGAAACAAGCAAACAAACAAACCCTTTAGTTTTTATTGTTTTTTTTTTTTTTTCCGGAGAAATCTTGGGGTTGTGGATAGCCAGCTACATTTCTTGGAAGTTTCCCGTGTTTCTTTTAGAACACCCCACCAGTCATCTTTCTAACAGAACTAGCACAAATTTAATTCTCTATGGTCTGCTAGAATATGTGTAGAATTTGACATGGCAAGTGTCATGAGAAGTGTAAGGGGTGTTGGGGGAAAAATTAGTGACGAAGAGCATGTTGACTGATAGTTCCAGGAGTAATTTAGGAGGTGACGGGAGATGTAACAAGTGAGGGAGTGTTCAGTGGTGCTGAGGAGGGTAGAAAGGAATGTCGACACTGGATTTACTGAGTATTCTCTTCTTTGTAGGCTGGTCCAAGACATAGAGTCAGCAGATGTCTCTTCTTTGTGCCCTAAGGAGCCCGGAGGTCTGTCTGGTTTAGGAAAATGTGGGTGGAGTGGGTGGAAAAGGGCTAGAAAGTTGTCTATCTTGGATCCACTTTAAAACTTGGGTCCTGGCAGATATGGCAGCTGATGACCCACCTCTTTTTAGCTTTACTTCCATGGCCCCTTCTCTAATCTGATCTCCCCCCACATTTCTCTTGATCACACCCTCAGCCTATAGCCTCACTACCTTTTGTGCCTTTGCTCTCTCTCTGCAGAACACCCAGTAGTGTTTGAAGTTCCTGTGGCTACAGCTGCGCATGTGGTCTTGCCCTGTTCCCCAAGCTCAGCCTGGGCATCCTGTGTGTGGCATCAGCCCGGTGGAGTGACTGCACTTACCCCCCGGCGGGATGGGCTGGAGGTGGTGGTAACCCCAGGGGCCATGGGTGCTTATGCCTGTGAATGTCAGGAGGGTGGGGCAGCCCGCGTGGTAGCTGCTTATAGCTTGGTGTGGGGCAGCCAGCGGGGACCCCCAAGCCGGGTCCACACAGTGGGGGCTGGACTGGCCGGCTTCGTCCTGGGGATTCTTGCAGCATCCCTGACTCTCCTCCTGATTGGTCGGCGTCAGCAGCGGCGGCGGCAGAGGGAACTTCTGGCTAGAGACAAGGTGGGCTTAGACCTGGGGGCCCCACCATCTGGGACCACGAGCTACAGCCAGGATCCTCCCTCTCCCTCTCCTGAAGATGAGCGGCTGCCCCTGGCCCTAGCTAAGCGGGGCAGTGGCTTTGGTGGCTTCCCTCCACCCTTCCTGCTTGATCCTTGCCCGAGCCCAGCCCACATTCGGCTGACTGGGGCTCCCCTGGCCACGTGTGATGAAACATCCATTTAGGGCTGGGCAAATGACCACTACTGCATGAGTGACCACTGGAATGGAATGACCGCTGAGACCCTGGGGGTCACTGGGCTTGGAAGACCGTCATGGCCTCAGTTCTTTTTGGCCTTTGAGTGGTCACTTGACTTCAGTATCTACCTTCTCTGGCCCTGGATGGGCTCTGAGCCAGCCCTTTGTCTGAGTCCTGATTCCTGAGTCTCATGAGAGATCAGAACTTCAGAGAATCAAGATTTTTTCCACCCCTGGTCTGAGCTGCTGTGGCCCCTTCAGCCCTCGTCCACTATCTTGGGCCCATTAGTTTGGGAATGGGACATGGGACATAGCTATGACTTTGCCTTCTGGTTAGACCCTGGCTGGAAGGGAGACCTGTGGACACGATTGGGGGCTGATGTGCACTGAGTCCTTAGGGTGGCTTTGCTGATTCTCCCAGTTGATCTGATTCTCTGTGGGGAGTGCATGATCCCCATGCTGCAACATGGAATCTTTGCCCTGAGATCTCCCCCTATCCCAGTTTTCCTTCTTTCATGAAAGAGCATGTGTGTTCACAGGAGACCTGGCCAAGTATGCATAACTGGGCCAGCGCTCAGGAGCTTTCACAGTGAGTAAGGAGCGGGAGGCTGGGAGGGGGCACTCCCTGCAGAGTTTTAGACCCTGTAGCCAGCGAGGGGATGGCTTTTCTTTCTAAAAGGAAGCAAACCACTGCCCTTCCCCATCACCTCCCTCAACCTTTCTCTTGAGTAGAGAAAAACTCCCAAAGTGACCTTCTGGGTGGGAAGGGCAGAAGTACATGTGACCCAATCTTTTTCTTTGTTTTTGCCTCCTGGCTGCCACCACTGCCGTGCACAGCTGCTCTTTCTCTGGCTGGGCCCCCTTTCCTTGGCTCCCATTGAAAATAAACTTCACAACATTCTAAACATTAAGGGACAGCAAAAGGGGAACAGTCACAGGAAATACACGCAGCATGGAGATAGGTTTGTATCAGTGACGTTACTCAGGTTGACGCCCTTGCCCTAAAGCAGGAGTTCTCCCCTGGGGGTTCATGGACTCCCTAAAATCGTATGCAAAATGTTGTCTGTACTTGTGTGTCTGTGTTTTGCTGGGGGGAGGTTTTATGGTCTTCATAAGATTCCCAAGGCCTTAACAAAATTAGAGGACCACTGCCCCAAGGATACCACACCATGGCCAAGCTGAGAGGTGCCACTCAGTGGCAGCTCTTTCTGCTCCACCCTACCTGCCCTGTGGCCAGCCCCTGGACTTGCAGCTGCTGGGTGCCATCTCATTTCCCCAGTCTCTGGAAGCTGGGCTCTGTGCATATTTGATGACACTGTCAGCTCTCAGCAAACTTCCTGCTTCACAACTCGCAGATGCTTTAGGCTTCTCCTGCTCAGTTCCGGTCTTGGCCTGTGAATGTGCCTCGTTCATCCCTGGTGAGGGAATCCCTTGAGTGAGCTCCAGTAAAAGATCCAGCCCTTCCCAACTGAAGTTTTCAGCTCCACTTTCCTTGGCAGCAGCCTGTGAATTACTCAAAACAGTCCCCTTGGGTTTGGAATTATCAGCGGCTTTGCCCTAATAAGCATATGATCTTCGGCCAGTAATCTAACCTAAGAACATCCATTTGCTCATCTGTAAAGTGGGGATAATAATACCTACCTCAGGGTTGCTGCAAGGATTGAATGACAGAACATGTAAACAATAAAGCACTATACCAGTAGAGGTTGTCGTGGTAAAAATTGTATTAATGATACCATAATCATATAGCTTAACCATATGATAAACGTGACACACGCAGTTACTTTAAGCCTCATTTGGTGGAAGGAGGGTCATTGCCTCACACGGGTGTCCTGTCCTGGGTCATCTCGGTCAGATCTTTGGTACCACTGTCTGGGGCCTGTGGGGGGCAGGGCCTGTGGTTTTTATAATCCTCAGATGTGTCTGACCCCAGTGTCCTTATTAGTCCTTCTACATGGAAATGGGGGAAAGCTTGTGTTCTTGGGTTTATCCTCACTTCACTCTACTCTCTCAAGGTTACGGGTTAGTTTCAGTTGTGGGGAGGAAAAGAGATGGAGAGATGTCCATTTCTCCCGGGGTCCCTGTGAGGAGGGGAGGAGAAGAGTCTTTCAAGGAGGGGAAGGATCAAACCATAGAGGATTTGGGACGTTTGGTTCTTGGATAGTGGCTCTGGATGGAGGATAATGGGATAAAGAATGTAGGAAAAATGAGGAAGGATGGGAATATGACTGAAGGGAGGAGAGCTACCTCTTAGTTGGAAAGTTCAAGCCCCGAGAGTGAAGGTGAAGCCCATTCCTAGAGAAATAGTGTAGCCGACTGCATGACCTTTGGGCTGTGGGGTGTGGGAAGAGAGAGGACCTGTGGATAAAGGAGATGAAAAGAGTATAAGGTTTCTGCAGGAAGTACTGTGAGGATTCTGGCAGCCAGAGACCTGCCTGGCTCCACCTGTTAAAGCAACCAAGGGTAGGGGTGAGGATGGGGCTTATGATTGTGTTACCTTCTGTCTCCAAAGATTGCCTGCTCTCTGGCTCTCTTAAATTCCCCTCGTTCTCAGCTTGTCATTCCTAACCAGTGGTCTGCTGCTGCCCACATGACCTTACTGAAAATAGAGCCAGAAAGATGTTCATCTCGTGTTACCTTCTGTCTCCAAAGATTGCCCGCTCTCTGGCTCTCTTAAATTCCCCTCGTTTTTGGCTTTGGTCCCCGGTCCCTGGTCCCTAAACTGTGACTCTCAGCTTGTCATTCCTAACCATTGGTCTGCTGCTGCCCATGTGACCTTACTGAAAATAGAGCCAGAAAGATGTTCATTGTTGGCTCTTATGAGCCAAGCATGCTCTAGCACAGCACTGGCCCTAACTCAACAGGAGGCTGACTCACATCCTTTCTCTGGAGACCTCTAGCTCCCTCCCTTTCCATAGCAGCCCCATGCGTTGACGGTGGCCTCGGTGATGTCAGGAAAGGGCTCCTTTTGCTATCTCCTGGCCCCTGACTCTCCTGGGTACTCTATAAAGGAGGCAGAAGTGGCCTTTCCCTGAGGCGAGAGGGCTACAACAGACTGTCCTTGGTCAATTGCACACAAATCCTGTCTCAAGGGCGTGGGGATAAAACTTGCCTTTTTGATTGTAGCAAAGGCAAGGTGGGAATTTTAAAAGATCATTCTCATCAACTGGAGGAAAAGTTATCAATAAAAGTACCAGAAATCTTTCTGCAGTTTTAAGTTCTCCCTGGTGGGGCTCCAGGACAGGCCTCTCTGTGACATAGCAATTTGTGTGGCCAGTAGGCAGCAGGTGCGGTTCCGGAGAAGTCCATCTGGACTGATGTGAAACACCAGGTCCTGCTTGAGGCGGGAAGGGCAGGCAACGGAGAAAAAGATCTCACTTCCTGAAGGTGTTGCATGCAGCGAGGGGTGGTTGGAAGGGCCAAGATAAGGGGTCAGGTTCGGAGGGCTGCTCTGGGCCCTCTGGATAAATAAGTGTAAGCCAGGCACTCTCTTCCTCCTTTTTTGGGGGGGATTCCCAGTCCATGGGACTGGGGTTTCCCTTAGACACACTGGGCCTGGGGTTTAGGGCTACAGAAGAATCCCAGACCTACCCACTGGTGGGTATGGCACTCCTTATTTACATCAGAGTTGGCACCCCTCTCATGGAGTCCAAGACGCGACAGTGATGAAATGAAAGCTAAAGGCTTGTACCACCTGCAGCTGGAGCCATGGTTGGGGCAGGAGGAGTCAGCAACTGGTGCTCGTCCAAAGACCAACATTTCTCCTTAGGGTTAAGCAAGTCCTTTGAGTTGAGGAGGCTGGCAACAAAATCCTTCTGAGAGTGAGGTTCACTGGGACTCTCTGAGGGTTAAAGGGCGAGGAGGCTGACTAGACCTCTCTGGTCAGAGGCTGAGGCAGAGAACTCATGAGGAAACTCAGGCCCTTCATGGGCCAACTTCATATCAGTCCTGAAACGGGTTCTGATCAACCTCACATAGAGTCACTGGAATTCTCCCCTGCAAGCCCAAGAGAGCACAGATTTGGCACGCATTCTCAGCACAACCCTTCCATGTGTGACGGTAAGCTCCTGCTCCTTCCTCTACAAGAAGTGAGGAGGCAGAAGTGGCCCTTCCCTGAGGTGAATCTTCGAGTAAATTCTCCCCTGCAAGCCCAAGGGTTGGCACTCATTCTCAGCACAACCCTTCCATGCGTGACGGTAAGCTCCTGCTTCTTCCTCTACAAGAAGTGAGGAAGCAGAAGTGGCCCTTCCCTGAGGTGAATCTTCGAGTGACGCAGACCAGTTTCCTCTGCCTTGCACCTTCTCCAGGAGTGACACGAGCTCTGGTGGGATGGAAGGTGTGGATGCTGGAGACAGCCATGGCCTTGAGGATTGGGGGCTGTGTCCCCACGCTTTGGTGTGGAAGGGAGGAGCTACCCACCCTTTGTCTTTGTGGGCTCAGATGGTGAGCTTCTCAGCAGCAGTTGTAAGAACCAGAGACACTTCTGTCCTTTGCTGGGAGCCAAAGAGGTCTCCTGAATTCATGTTCAATTCTAGGAAGAAAGAGGACCGCCCCCAAGATGCACAAGACAGACTATTTCCCCCCTGAAGTGACCAGGAACTCAGAAACAGCTTAAGTTGATTCATAGAAATAAAGTAATTTTTTTCTCCCATGAGTATGAGAAGAAACATTCATGCCCATTATAACTATTTCAGCATTTCTAAAATCAGCTGAGTCCAGAGCATCTGCGTTATGAATTGGCCTATAGACTGAGGGAGCAGAACTGGCTGTAGATAGGATGGAGGTGAATGAACACTGGGCGCCTAAAATGGAGGGCCTTCCTCCAGCCCTTTGCGGGAGCCATTTCCCCTAACATAGCTTCTCTCTACACATATCTACAAAATTAATCTTTTATCAGACTCAAAATCCATCACCTCTCAAATTTACTGGATTTATGCAATTTGTGGTTTAATCATAATACTAGAGCTCATCATAGATTGTGATCACCTTGTAATTCCCAGGTAAATGTCCTCAGAAAGAAGGGAACATAAATCCGTGGATATTAGTTAACCAACCAAGGCATCCACATGCTACCTCTACAATAGTTTAAAACAAAGCTGCCATTAGCTTTGCTAGATATGGTCTTATTCTTTTGGGTATTTACTGCTGTATTAGTTAGGACAGGTTTTTATAATGCAATAACAAAAACTCCATACGCTTAGCGGCTTGAAACAACCTGTTTCTAACAAATACTACTTAAAAAAGAAGGAAATTCTGTCTACGGCCATGGTATCCTGGACAAGCCTGATCTTGTCTGATCTTGCAAGCTAAGCAGGGTCAGGCCTGGTTAGTACTTGGTTGGGAGACCACCTAGGAGGACCAGGTGTTGTAGGCATTAAAAAACAACAACAAAAAAAGGAATTGTAAGCTGGACAAGGTCCTTGTAATCTGTGAGGTCAACCAAGGGTTGCCTTGCCTAAAAAAATTAAAAAAATAAATTAAAAAAGAAAGAAATTCTGACCCCTGCTACAACATGGATGGATCTTGAGGACATATGATAAGTAAAATAAACCAGTCACAAAAAGACAAATACATGATTCCACTTATATGAGGTACTCAGAGTAGTCAAATTCATAGAGACAGAAATTAGAATGGTGATGGCCAGGGCCTGGGGGTGAGAGGAATGGGGGTTATTGTTTACTGGGTGTAGAGTTTCAGTTTTACAAGGTGGAAAGGGAGCTGGAGATGGATGATGGTGATGATTGTACATTATTACCAATGCATTTAATACCACTGAATCATGTACTTAAAAATGGTAAAGATGGTAAGTTTTATGTTATGAATATTTTACCACAGTAAAAAAATTAAGAAAAAAGTGAATAAAACACAGTCCCTCCCCCCTTGAAGCTCCTGATGCAGTGCGGAGGCAGACAAGTGAGCAGATAATGACATTTCGAAAAGCACTATTGTCAAGGTATGTCCCAAATCCCAAGGGACTGAAAGCTGCCACATTCTGCAGACATCTCTTTTTACTGGCAGCTTGAGAAACAGACTTGAGACACCAACATCAGGCTTTGTAACCTCCAACTAGACTTCAGTCTAGTGAACATAGCTATGTCTCATTTGTTTCTTTATTCTGTTCCCAATTTTACATAAAAAAAATTTTAAAGACAAGATTTTTTTTTTTTGTCTATGAAACTGGCAAAGATTTGTAAAAGGTGGATGATCTTTGGGCTGACGAGCGTTTGGGAGGGAATAGGGTTTTCTATTGTTGAAAGTGAAATTAGTACAAACTCTATGGAAGGTCTTCTGGCAATAATTTAAAAATGTATATATCATTTGACCCAGTAATTATGCTGCTGGAAATTTAAGAAATAACAGTATAATTGTGCAAAGATGTATTTCTAAAGGTTTTCATTTTATTGTTAACTAGAAGCCTAAAATATTAGAAAAATCCAATTATTCAACAGGAGAAATTTGTTTAAATAACCCCAATATTGACTTGAGAACAAATGCACAACATTGTTAGGTGGAAAAATGGGAACCAGAAGGAAGAATAGCAGCCTCGATAGCCGGGAGCTGCTCTGGCGCCACCGCGAGGCCTCGGAGTTCTGTCGTACAGAACGCCAACATCTGCTGAGGCCACTCTGCTGCGATGGATTGAAATAAAACAAGACCATTCCACAATCACATCTGCACACAGACAAAACAGGAACATTGTCCAA